TCCCTACACACCCCACATAGATGAGCAGAACTCGGGGGTGTGCATGGGACTTTGGTGTTGGCCCCATCAAAGCCCCTTGTGAGTTGGGTGGGGACAACTTGCCCAATCCAGCTGCAGGGAGTTGGGAACAACCCAGAGTAGAGTGGTGCATGCAGACAACAAGGACTGGAAAGGGTGTCGCCAGTGGCCAGTGCAAATGTGTATGGGAGATGCCATGGATGGGATGTGAATGGGAATGAGCCATGGAACCCTAGGTGCCTCCAGAAGGGAGGCAAAACCAGAGGTGCTGAGGGAAGGGAAAGGATCCTTCACTACTGGGGTGCAACCCCACAGGAGAGGCTCACTGGGGACGGCAATGCTGGGGCCAAATTGGATGAGAGGCCAGAAGGAGCCAGACCTCTGAAAGAAGGCGGCCAGGGAAGATAACAGTTCCTAGGCCATACTCCAAGCAAAACCCAGACTAGAGCTACCAAAGGAGCCTTGGACTGCTCTTTTGCCAGCATGTGCTGAGGGGAGGATGGTGACGTGCCTGAGGGCTAAGGGCACATCTTCCAGGGCTTGTCTACAGCCCAGCAGAGGTGCATCCTGGCCCAGGCTTCCACCTGTCTTCATCCTCATGCATGCTCCACACCCCAAAGTCTGCCTATGAAGGCACTCACAAGTGTCCTTCTCTGGCCACAGTTGAGCCCTCAGTGTCCAGCATGCTTGAGCGTGGCCACTGGAGACAATCCTGGAACAGCCTCACCACCACAGTTCCTGGTTTGGGGCATGCTTCATGTGGGTGTAGCATGTTTGGTCTGTCCAAGTTGGGACATGCCTGGACACCAAAATAGTCCCTTCTCTAGCACAATCATTCCCTACTACCCATGCCCCCTGGGAAGCAAGGCAGGGCAGGCACCCGCAGTGCATCCACAGGACGAAGGCACAGGGAGGCTAGAGGATGTGCTTAAGGCCATACAGGGAGTCTGTGGCAGAGCAGGGACCTGAATGTGTCCCCTGGGCCCTGCTTGCTGGGGCCTCCTTCCTCTGGAGGGGTCCAAGACAGGACATCCAAGTGCGGCTGCCCCTTTAGAGTGATCTGCAAGGATGGAGTCTCTAAGTCTGAGCCTGTGTCACCAATGCAGAATGGCAGGACACAGAAACATGGAGGCTGGCATAGCCTGGTGACCCTCTCTTTATGCTCTGGCCCTGTGGGTACAGTGCCACACTGCCCCAGATGGGGTCACCCCAGGAGAGCAGCCTGAGCACTGAGGGGCAGAGCACCAAGAGCTGGGTCTGTTGTGCTAGAGCACTGGCCTCTGCCACTGCTGTGTCCTGCAGTGAAGGGATGGGGGGTGATTCTCCTAAGACTGTGTGAAGTGATGGGGGTTGCTGGTGATTCTCCTAAGACTATGTAAAGGAAGAGGCTATATAATGCACTGTCCAGTTAAGAACATGTAGAACCCCTAGGCTGCCTGTTCATGTCAGGTGATATCCTTTCTGGCAGCTTGTGGGGGAAGCGGGGGAGGGATGTGATGGGGCCTTCCCAGCTCAGGAGGGCCCTTGAATTCAGATAAACAGGTGAGTGGGTGTGTGAGGCTGCCCGTCACTGCCACTCCCTCTCTACAGCACAAGGTGGGGGACAAGCCCTTTCTGACCTTCGAGGTGGTGTCACTGGTGCCGTATGACCGGAACCTCATTGACGTCAGGCTCCTGTCTGCGGAGCAGGTGTGTGGGGCTCTGGGTGGGCGGGAGCTGAGATCTGCCCATTGCACTGGACACTCATGGCTTCACCCTGCCTGGTTCCAGATCCAATACCTCAACTCGTACTATGAAACCATCCGTCACCGTGTAGGGCCGGAATTGCAGAGACGCCAGCTGCAGGAGGAGTATGAGTGGATGAGAAGTAACACTGAGCCCTTCTCCCAGGGTGTCCTGGTGGCTGCTTCCCTGGGCCTCCTGGCTGTCACCACCCTGATGTCTGAATTCCTGTCTAACTTGCAGGCCTGAGGGGTGCTGTGCCTGATCCACTCAGCTCTTCTACTGCCCCATACTCAGAGGTCCAAACTCATTGAGTGCCCCCAGGCATGTTTCCCTGCTCCCAGCAGCCTGAGGTTCATGTATTTCCTCACACTCACCCTTGTTACCTCACTTCCTTTTTTGTTTGTAATTAAAAATAAGTAACATCCAGGAAAGATGATGTGATATTCTCATGCTGTGGCTGAGGTGGCCTTGGCATCTGGCTTTGTGAACATGCAGAACTAGCATGTGTGTGTGCAGAAAGGAGGGGTGTGAATATGTGAGGCTAGCATGTAAGTGCAGGGCTGAGGGCTGTGGGGTTGCAAGGTATGAGTTCATGAGGCTGGTGTGTTTGCAGCTTGTGTGCACTGTGTTCAAATCGGGGGCTTAATGTCCTGAAAAAAGGCACAGATCACTGAAGTACTCAGTTCTTCTTTGGGGGCATATGCCTGCCAGCCAGTAGATGCTTTGGCCTCAGGATGCTTCCTGGTTGTTAGTTTGGGGTTCTCTAATGTCCCTCTGCCAGACTGATGGCCTTGCCCTTAAGCCCAGCCTTTCCTGGTCCTGCCTACCCTTTCCCACCTCCCTGCTGGGTCCCTAGACGATACCCCCTTCTCCCAGCCTGCTTCCATGCTCTTCTAATCCCACTGGTTCTGGGTGGCCCAGTTGGCAGGAAAGGCCCCGTATCTGACCCCCCCTGGGAGATGCAAGCCCAGGATCTTTGCAAAGTCCTGGATCCCCAATTTCTAATGCCGTGTGTGTCACATACACTAGTGCCAGGTGGGTATGTACATGCCCATCCCAATGAGGAGGCTTTATACCAATTTGCACTGGTGCAACGGAGGACACATTGGGAGAGCACCGATCCCACTGTGGACGCACTTTGTACAGGCAGTGTCCTAGAGGGCTGTTTCACTCTACAGTTAGGCTCCTTTATGCTTCCAGAGCCCCATCATGCACCTGAGCTTCCATCATGGACTCAGATTTCAGCGCTGAGCCAGGCTGGGCAGGCTGAGGGTGTTGTTTCTTCAGGGAGAGAGAGCTGGGTTTTTTTGCAAAAATATTTATTTCTATATATATAGATATATATTTATATATAACTATACCTCTAACAACCTGCCTTGTGACCACTATGGTTCACTTGACGGTCCAAAACACAATTTTACAGTTACACTTAGTCCTGTTACAAAGACCACACTACGCACCCACAAGCCCATACACCCACCCACCCACCCATCACTGTCACCTTTAAAACATCGCAATTATGCAAAGAACTACCTCAGCCCCCTCCCCTCTCCTTTCCTCCACTTCCCAACTCCCCATCCTGTTTTTCCAGTCCTTTCATTTGTCATTGTATTCATCCTCTTCTCTGTTGTCTTCATTATCCTCATCATCATCCTTGTCATCCTCAGTGTAGTTGTATGCACAGGCACCCAAGGGAAGGCAATAAATGGTCAGTGATGAGAAAGCTCCAGCTGATCCCAGACAGGCTAGCTATCCTTGGACAGCCAGTATGAGCACAGGGACCTTGTATTTTCATGGGCATTGGGGAGAGTTCCTAGCTTCTTAGGAACAGTCTTGGCCCTAGCAAAGAGTTGGGGACAATTGCCTTTAGCATGGTCCTTGTACCCCTGGAGCTGGTGCAACTGCAGCACATCTGACCACAAGCAGTACAACTACCTGCCTGTGAGGTGTGGCCCTGATGACATGGGAGCTGTTGGCTCTGGCTCAGTAGACCAGTGTACTATTTTGGGCTCAGCCACAGAGGTAAGGCTGTTGGATGAAAAGTGTGACCTCAGCATAACATGGCCTGGGTTCCATGATGGAGGGGTTGGGCAAGGCCAACTTCATGAGAAACCTTCTTTTGGGAAAGGGGGTGTTTGGAGCCTAACTCCTGCTCCTCCTTCACTGCATGGTCCAGTCCAAGGGGCTCCTGGTCTCTGTGAGTAGGGAAGGGCAGCTTTGAACTGGAAGACAGACCTGCCATGCCTCCTCCATGGCACCTTCCTCACTGTCTGAAGTTCCCTGTGATTTGACCCTGGTGTGGAAGCCCAAAGATCTTGGTGAGGAGCAGCCATCTTAGGCCCTGGATGCTGGACCTGGGAGGTCTGGGAAGCAGAGCAATGTGCAGCCCTGAGAAGAGGACATCATTACACCTGGGCTGCCTGCCCTGGGGTCCAGCCTTCCACTCTGGCTTGCACTAAATAAGACAGGCCTGAAGAAAACCTGCCCTGTTTTCTGCTGGGCCCTTGGGCAGCCTGCAGTTAGGCTGTCCTGGAGCTCTGCTTCCTGCCTTTTCCACCATGGGAATTTATGATGCTCTCAGCAGCCCATCTGAGGATGCTCCTGGGTCTCTATTACAAGCCTAATCTCAGAACCAACAAATAATAGGATGTGAAAAACTGGCAGGCCCAGACCTCGGGCAGTCCTTTCTACTGAACTTGAGGGGAAATTAGACACTGGAGGCCTCAGTTAAAGACCCTGAGGACAGTAATGCCCAGTGCAAGAAGCCTGACTTTTCTTGTCACTTTGTAAAGGGAAGACAGAGAGAGGGAGAAGGTACAGAATTCCCTGGATGAGTACAGCTGGGCCCTTGTGAACTAGCCCTGGTGGGTCGAGAATCAACGAGTAGGGCTTCCATCAGGACATCTGACAAGTGTGGCTGGTCCAGTGGTTGGGGCCCAAGCCCAGAGCTCAGAAGATCCTGGCTTTTTCCCTGCTCTAGCACAGATTTCCCATACAGCTGTGGGCAGGCTCAATGGGTATCAGCACCTGGCAGCACAGTTGAGGTAACAGCATGGGCCATGGGAGACCGGTAGTTGGAAGTTTGGTAAGGGGGCTGAGCATGACATTTAAGGCCATTTTGCTCGGCACACCACTGCCAGCCATGGAGCCCAGGCTGCTCACACCAGGCAGCTGGGAGGCTCTCTGCCAAAAAACATTGCCTACCCCTGGCCTAGGCATTAAAACACCCTGGCAGCCTTGCTTTGCTGAATGGCTTGCTCCCCTGGGGAATAGCCACAGCACAGCTCAGGGCATCCAGAACATTTCTAGATTCCAGTGAGAGATTGAGAGGAGTTGGTTCCTATTTTCAGTCATTGCCTTCACAGAAGGAGTCTGTGGAGAGAGCCAAACTCCACTGAACCTGTCAGAGGTGAACCAGGCAGGTGATTAGTGTGGTCCTGTATCCTGGCTGGTCCAGTCTAGCAATGGGGTGAATTAAAGAGCCCACAGAGGAGCAGAGCAACCCAAGGCACAGGTAACTGTCATGAACCACCTTCAACAGCAGAACTGATTTGGAGGTTTAGAGGGTCTCCCACAGAGATACCTGCCCCAGGGTTGATTTGAGTAACCTCAGGTGCCTATACATGTACATTGAGGCTGCTCTGACATGCTGTAATTACAGTGCATTGGAGCAGACTCAGTTAACTGAGCCTGCCAGAGCATGGTAATTACCGTGCTTCAGCAGCCTCCAGTATCATGTGTACTGGTGTCCCTGCTCTGACAAAATGTCAGCAGGGGCACTTTAACTAAAGCTTGTTCAACGAGCACAGGGAGGTTGATACACGTGATGTTCTGGGCTCTTTAATTAGAGCATTTCTCAGAGCCACTCTAATTAAAGCATTCCCCACCCCACCTCCTGAAATGCACGTATAAATGGCTCTTGTATTTGGTTTTGCCCAAAGGCCAGTGTTCATGTCATTTTTTTCATCATATTAATTATGTTATACTGGCTGTGTATATCTTCACAATTTTGGGACATAGTTTGGTCAAAAGTTTATGGCCAGATCTCTAATGAAGAACAGTTTTGTCAAAGAAACTGAGGACCACCTACCTAAGGAACTGCTAAGTATTGCTTGCCAATCGTGTTAGTAGGTCAAGAACTAGGGTGACCACCTTTTCCAAATGGAAAGGTGGGACAAATGCCCACCTTCCCCCACTCCCACACCAGTGTCATGGCTGTAGCAGAGCTGAGCAGAGTGGAGGGGAGTGGGGCCAGAGGTGAGCTGCTCACTGCAGGGTCAGAGCTCCCCACCCTGCTGCCTTTCCCCTGGGGAGCTCCATGCCAGCTGCACGCCCCCTACCTTCTTGGCAACAGTGGAGGGGAAACGTCACACCACTGCCATCCCTGCTGCTGCTGGGCAGGCAGGGGTTACCTTGTCATGGTGGCGCAGCCAGTGCGGGGCTCCCAGGGCAAAAGCAGCACGGCAGGGAGCCCCAAAACTGTAGTGGGAAGCCTGCATCTGCCCCCACTCCAAGCACAAATCTGGTGGGGCACGTGCTCCCCTGGTATCCACCCCTGGGAAGTGCACACAGCAGAGGGGAGCAACCCCCACAAGACAAGCCACCCATGGCTCCGTCCTGCTTCACACCCCAGGCCCCATGCACCACCCTGGCTGGCCAGCGCCTCCAGTCCCTGCCCCACTCCCTTCATCACTGTGGGGTCCTTAATCTGGGGTGGTGCCAGAAGCCCCTTTCTGGGGGTGAATGGAAGCCCATCTGGAGGGATCTGCATTGGCTGTGCAGATGTACTACTATGAGAGGTGTGTTAGCAGTGCCTGCTCAGAAGGAGCCCCTTGCCCACATAGAGTGGGCCCTCCCTTTGCCAAGGCATGAAGGCAAGGCCCTGTCTGGCAGGCTGGCTCTAGGGACTCTAGGCACGAAGAGATCCTCAAGCTGCTACTTCCTTCCTCCTTCACAAGTGCTATGGTGGGGCCAGCTGCTCTAGAGCAGCGATTGCTGTAAGAGTGGCTCATGTGACACAGCGGCTTCCTGCATGCTTCCTGGTGTCTGTGCCGGCAGCATTTCAGTAAGTGACACACTGGGATCTGCACTTGGTAGCTCAGCCCTCATCCCTCATCCTGCAGCCTGGCTCTTCTGGAAGGAGCACTATGCTGCGCCGCAAGCCGTCCAATGCCAGTGAGAAGGAGCCTATGCAGAAGAAGAAGGTGAGTGTAAGAGACTGCCTGTTGTTTGACTCATTGACAGTACTGCTATGGGCCTAAAACTAGTTCCATGATCTCTCTGTCCCCTGGGCACCCACTCTGATTGGTTCCCAGTTGCCAGCAGGGCTCACAATGTAGGCAGGAGATTTAGCCATGCTAGAGGCTGGCTAGGCATTAGTTTAGGATGCTTTAAGAACCACACGTCCTGCCTTTGTGCAGGGGTAGCACTAGCTGGCCCCTGTGCACCCTACTAGCCTTCTGAGCATATGATTCTGTTATTTGTACTCCAACTGTGGCAGAGCTGACCAACCAGGCCAGTCCCACAGAGGGATGTTTCCTAAATGACTGTGGTGAGGGAGGGAGGTTGATGTGTCTGCAAGTGGATGCCAGGCCCTTTCAGTGAATTACAGGGCCACAGGAATGAGACAGCCAAGTCCTCTGCCCTTTCTACAGATTCCAATGTCTGAGTACTGTGCATGCACCTCCGGGGCTTGGACTGGGCTAGAACTGAAAATCCCATGCTTTGGTGCCTCCATTATCTCTCTTGGGATGCAGATCTATTTCACTGCCAGCATGGCTGTCCTGATGGCCACCTATATTTCAGGTCCTCATGTCACCCCACATTTCCTGCAGCTCCCTGACTTTCCCCCTCCAAGAGTTATAACCTTGCCTTTCACGCAGTCAGTGGGCTGCCCTGTCTCTTCTTGCCTTATCTCCCTATTTCTCAGCTGCACCTAATCCCTGGTGTTGCTCTTCTTTGAGCTTGCTCTCACTTGCTGAGATCTGTATAGAGACAAATTGCTAAAGATTGACAACAGTGAACTGTGCCAAGCTGATGTTTACCTTCTTGCTCCAGGGGCAATGGCTCTGAACCTAGGATCCCACCAGGATGAGAATGCAAAGTGTATCTCCTGCTATTAGCAAGCTGGGCCATAGGGCTTGTCTTTGCCTGTTGGCTGAAGGAGACTGAATTATGTATCCTTCTGTCCTGGGAATGGAACTGTAGCACCGTAGATCCCAGAACAAGCCTACTGGTGTAGATCCAGACTAAAGCCCACTGAAGTGCATGGAAGTTCTTTATGTTGGTGTCAAGGAGGGCAGAGCCTGCTTCTAGGAGGGTGACTGGTAGCACAGAGAACTTGCCAGGCGATCCCTGCCCTGCTAGGGGTCTGGGACACTGGCTGCCATGCAGTGGAGCATAGGGGTATGACTCCCCTGCTCATTCTTATGTGTGTGAAGGGTGGCTGCCTGTCATTTCCTGCCTGGGGATTTGCTGCAGGGCTGCTATGTGCCTGCTGAGAGTCATCTGGCCCTAAGCCCTGAAGCCATTCTGCTCACAGACTGCAGAAATTTGCTGAAGTTTGCAGCTACTGGATCAAAGCCCTTCAAGGTGTTTGTGGTTCAGGCAGTTCTCGGTTGCTGTCAGTCACGTGCTGCTAACCACTTCCTCTTGCAGCTTAGTCCTTGCTTGACACCAACAACGCCAAGTACCTCAGGCAGGAGGAGCCTACAACAGACAGGAGACCTGGCTCTGGCCAACGTTGGGTCACCCCAGACTTCAACCCTTGAAGATCAAGTAGCCTGGCCCTGCTGCTTATTGGTCACAACGACATTCTGGAGGGCAGTGTCCATGACGAGCCCCACCTGCAAGGCTGGTGCAGCTCCAGGGAGCTGCTTTGCAAAGTCAGACCTTTCATGTTGGCTCTGCGGGCCTCTGCAGTAGCTAAGTGTCAGCAAACACACACTGTCAATGCCTGGCTCCATGAGGGAATGGCACAGCCAACAGTACATAGCACTAGAGCGATGCAAGAGGTGGGGTTACTCAGGACTGACCTCCACAGGCCCTCTTCCTGCCTTCACTCACCTCTTCAGGAGCACAGACAGGCTAGTGCTGCCCTGAAGCAAAGTTTAGCAGCTGTCTGATCCTGAGCGTAGCAAGCCTGCTCTATGCTGCTGCCTCTCCTGCCAGGGATCTGTCCCTAAAGTCACCCTTGCTCCCGCAAAGCCATTTTCAATCTCAGACAATAGTTCTATGTGTCCTTATCCCTGCCACACTTTGCTATGCTTACACTTGCATGCCCAAAGAACTCCCTTGTTCCTGGCAAGTAACTAGAAAGCAGAGAATAAAACCACGGGCATGGAGAACAGAAGATTTGGCACTGAGACCCTGGCATCAGGGTGAGATTCTGGGGTGTGGTAGCAGCCTAGAGTGATGGGGCATTAGACAGTGGGTCTGGGGCCTACTCATAGCACTCTGGGATTTCAGTCCCTAGCTGAGTCACTGCTTTTCACTAGCAACAGTATTTCTCCCTATGATTCCATAGGGCGAATTCACCCCAGAGATGAAAAGCCAGGCTCCAGGCTGCTGGGCCTCTGGGGCGTGAGCACACTGCTCTGAATGCTAGGATCTGCCTGTCTGGCATGGCCTTTCCCTAGGCCTTACCCCAAGCTGCAGCCTCTCCAAGCCACCTCATGTCTAGCAGTTTGGCCACTGATGTGCCTCAGACTTAGACTTCAGATTCTCTTTATCCTGCTTCCTTTTCCCCAGGTCCCTGGCTCCAGTTCCTTAACACACTCCCCCTTTACTGCTTGAAAAATGGCCCTTTCTTGGCCCTGCATTTTCTCCCTGAGAGCGATCCCATGACTGGCCCCTATTTGGTAGCTAAGGGACTGTCATCTACTGTAAGGGGAGCATGGCTTCAACCCTACTGGAAATAATGGTGTGTATATTTCCTGGGGGAAGCCAAGGGCTTGCTTAAAGTCAGTACATAGTTGTACCACATAAAACTACCTGCCCCAAACTACCTCCCTGTTCTTCAGAATCTCAGCTTTTGTCTTTGAGAAGATCTTTAGCTACTACAGCTGTAATGCAAAACTTGACCTTGAGTGCAATGGATGACTAAATCTACAGAGTCTGCTATGGAGATTTATAGAGTCCTCTGAGAGAGAGACCATTATGGTGCAGAGGCTAGAAAAAAACACTGCTTGCTGTTGACTTGGATCAAGGAGAAGACCACACTGGGGTGGCCATCAGAGAGGACATTCTGGTTTTCTGCTACTCTGTCCTCTGTTGATACAAAACCAGACACCTTTATGGCCTCTATTTTTCTCTTCAAGCTCTTCAAGAGAAAAATAGAGGCCATAAAGGTGTTGGGTTTCATATCAATAGAGGACAAAGAACAACTGGACTGTCCTCTATGATGGCCACCCTAGGCCCACCCAAGGGTCCTAGAGGGGTATGAAGAGCTTGCATGTTACGCTTGGGTACCTGTCAAGAGCACTTCTCACTTTGATATCTCAACTGGATATAGCTGATTGTATGAACTCCTGCCAGCACTCCCCTCCCTCCAGATTGACCCCAAGGGGAGCCTCACATGCCTTACCAAAGACCATAAGGAATGGCAGCCATCTTGCCTGAGAGAAGCTTTGACTTCAGTCCTCCTGGTAGTAAGAAGAGAAGACAGCCAGGTTGGATAAGGGTAAAATGCCACAAGTTTGAAGATGAAACCAGGTTAAAATGAAAAAATAAACCCCTCCCATCCCTGACTGTCATGACATTTGGAATAGAATCATCAGAGCTGATGACTTAGAGGAAGAAGAAGAAGAAAGCCAGTAGCCAGTGACTAGCAAAATGGGGCCATCCTAGTTCTTTGGAGGGGAAGTGTTGAGCAGGACGGTGGCAGGCTCAGGGCATTATGGTTGCTTGGTAGCTAGCTATTCTAAGAGGTCACAAACTTAATGAATCAGCCAACTTTGGGGGTGCAGCTATTTGCCGATCTGATGGGATTGTCAGGGAGTTCGATGTCTCATCAATCTCAGAGGGGAAATCAGAGTAAACCACTCCCTGCAACATGGAAACAGTCCCGCTTACGGAGGGCAGCCGTGGTTGGTCAAATCAGCGAGCAACATTGCAGCTGTCCTCTCAGGGGATGCACTCCCCTCTCACTGCCACACCCTCCTTTCTCACTTCCCTTCCTTGCTATGCCTTCTTTGCTGCTGAGTGTGCCTTGCCTTCTAGTTTCTCACTGTAACTATTCAGTGACTTTCTATTTCCCCCAGCCACTCCCCTGGCAGCCCTCTCCTCCCCCATCCTGTTCATATGCAGTGAGGGCCCCTTTGTCCCTGTAAATACTTTTTTCTGGTCTGCCTTCCTAAAAGATGTCATTTCCATTAAAAAAAATCGCTCTCTGCAAGGAAGAATCACTCTCACATGCTCACCCACAGACATATCAACAAGCCCCAGCCTACCCATGGCTTTTCCCGCTTACCAATAGGTATGTCATCTTGTGCTGGCCTTGTGTATGCACTGCCCAGGGGGCAGAACTCTGTGGCATTCACATTCATTATGGGATTCACCTCAGGAGAGCCCTGGATTCTGGATCCTGCTACCACTTTGCATTACACAGTCATTAGATAAAATGGATAACTAGCATGGGGAGCAGGGACCTGAATGCAGGGCACCCTGCAAAAGCAGAGATGAGTTTACTGGGCCATTCCCTGTTTGTTCACTTTCTGTCCTTTTGGCCTCTGACTATTATTCTGTGGTGGCCAATGACCCAGCTTGGAAGCAGGAAAGTGGGGTTAAGGACCTCTTAGAGTAAGAGAAGCAAGAAAGCCAGCTTGGAGCTTGGTACATGTATGGGCTGAATTATATGATGTGGCTGCTTGGGATACCAGGGACTAAACTCGGTGAACCATGAGATACCTTCTAGTCCTGCAGACTGTGACATACTCTCTCCCCCACTGGAAAGTTATATTCTGTAGACATGAAGAGGCTTCTAATAGGCTGCAGAGTGAGCCCCAAATCCAGGCACCAGAATGTCCCACCCCTCCTAGCTAGGTCTGGACAGCAGCGGTGTCAGGCACCAAAGTTTGTGTAGAACTCAATTCATGCTCACTGCTTGCTACCCCACCAGCAGATTGGGGCAGGGGGCTGGGACCTGGCCCTCCCCTGGAGCTCTATACAAATCCCCTGTCCCAATCAGGGAGCTGGGAGCTCCCTGCGGGCTTCCCAAACCCCTCAGGCAGAGAGCAATGTTGCAGCTCTGGCACCAGCATGGATCTATAAGTTGGTGGAGCAAGGCCCGGCATATTAAGCAAACTTAGCTGTTTGCATCATCCAAGGCCCCTGTGATTCTTTTGTATTATTTTTGCTGTGCAAAGAATAAAAAAACATTGGAAACACTCTTTAACTATAATCCGAGCTGCTCTGAGAATCTCCCAGCTCCTGGACCCAGGGTTTCCAGTAAGCATCAAATCTTGCAAGACACACCTCCAAACTGAAGAAGGTGGTAGCTCTGACACTAGGCTTCTGACAAGGTGAAAGCAAAGCACTGCAGTTTTGCCCCCTTTTGTTTTATATGAGAGAGAGACCTGGGTCCTGGGTATGAGTCAGGGTATCAGAGAAGAAAGAACATTAGTGCAGGTATACAGGCCTTTGACACAACTGTTGAGGGGCTGTATGTGGGGTTCTGCTTCCCTCCCCTCCGGGATGGACACTGCCCTGGGGAGGGGGCAGCTTAAAGGCCAGGGCTTGCCGAGCACAGTGACTGCAGATGAAATGGCCATGGCTGAGCTGGAGGGACAGGCCTCAGAAGCTGGGCTGCTTTTGCTAGATTCTGGGGTTTGCCTTGGTTTCTCCCTGCTTTGTCTGGTATCACCAGACACCAGTGAACTTGCCCCAGTTTTACCCCAGTGCGTGTGCACCAGGCTATATGAACCAGCAAGGATTGTGCATGCATGGCCAAGAAGACTCCTAGTAGCAACAGGAGACATTGTAGCAGCCTGCGCAAGGCTGTAGGTGTGGAAGGGGCTGGTCACAGGGAAAGGCTATGGAGCTGGTGTTCAGGAAGCAGGGTTCTGCAGCCTATTCTGGAATTGACTTACAGTAGGTGCGTCTATACATGCACTTTACTGTGCAGTAGACTAATTGACTGCACAGTAAAGCATCACTGTCTACACGTGCATGGTAATTAGGCTGAGGTCAACTAATTTACTGCACTGTCGGATATTCCCATCAGACACAAGTAATATCCGATGCCACAGTAAATTACTGCATTTAAATGTACATATGTGACAGGGCTGGCTGGGGCACAAGGGGGCTTCAGTGTGGGGCTAGCCAGCAGGCATGCCCTGATGCTGAAGCACCTTTGTTACTCCAGCCAGCCTCTCCACAGCACATGGAGCCATGGGAGCAGCCCTGGGCTGGCAGTTAACCAGGGCTGCTCCAATGAGGCTCCATGTGCTGTGGCAGAAGTGTTTGGGGGGGGGCGTTGATGCATGAGGGTGCTTCAGCACGGGGTCTGCTTGTGCCTCAGCCAGACACTCCTCAGCACATAGAGCCCTGCCAAAGCAGACAGCCCAGGGCTGACCCGCTGGGTCCCCTGCCAGTCTGGGTTACTCCCACCAGGCTCCCTGTGCTGTGCACAAATAAACTCCAGTGCTAATGTCTCTGGAGTCTTTTGCTCCTGGGTGCATGTTCAAACGGCACACCCAGGAGCAAAAAACTCAGAAGCAATAAGCTCTGGAGTGTATTCGTGTGCATTAATTACACATGTAGACATGCACCCAGGAGCATTAATTACATGTGTGATCCTGGCCAGTGGCTGTGGCTCAGTTTCTTTTTCTGTAAAGCCTGGGAGATGGCCCTCCCCCCACCCCGCCATGGCCTGCAGCTGTTTGTAAGGCACCTGCAGTGGCTCGTGGGAAAGGCAGAGGGCTGCTGTTGGCATTGTGATGTGTCTTGCCCAGTGAATTGGATCAGGGGCTAAGAGAAACAATTATACTGCCAAAGCAGGGGTAAGTGGGAGGGGGGTCTGTGCCAAAGAAAGAGAAAACTGAGCCAGGCATGGACAGGAAAGGTCTCACTCATGGGGAGTGGGCCAGTGAAAGCCATGGGACATGCAGGTGGGAAAGGTCCAGGTGTGGTGTAGCTTCAGGCCTTGTTCTTGATCCATGCCCTGGTCTCTGCTTGCAGATCCTTCCCCCCC